TTTTTTTAAATAGAACTTTTAAAAAGCTTATAAACATACATTTTTAAATTTGACATGGATGAAAATGATGCCATTGCAAAGGTAAAAAGAAAATACCCCTGTAAGTCACTTTAAAGAGTCAAATGTCACCTTGTATTAGGAAGGCTAATTTTTGATCAGAAGTTTTGATTATTGATCAGAAGGTGCTCCTCAATTTTTTTAATTAGGAGGACAAGCGCTCCTAAAAAGAAAAGTAAGCATAGAGCCATGTGTATCAGTATATTAAATCCGTGCATGAGGCCTTAAAGAGACAGCAGCCTAAATAAACCTGCTGCTGTTTTTCATTATACAGTGAAGATATTTATACAGTTATTATACAGTTGAGTAGATTATAGTTAGACCTAACTGAAAACATTTCTTGTTATTGTTTTTGTTTGTGCTATTGATTGTCATTAATTTATTTGTTCTTATTTTATTATTTACTGTTTACTTGCCTTTTTTAGTTCAAATAAATTCAATTCTGAGTGCACATGATTCTTGGGTGGGGAGGGGAGGGGGTGTGGTCCATGAGAAATAGTCCTGCCACCACAGCTGGAAAAAAATCCTAGAGGAAACAGTGCATACATTTAATAAAATTAGAAAAATGCATTTACAAAGGTAAAAAGAAAATGCCCCTGAAATCACTTTCAGTCAAATGTCAGCTCATATTAGGAAGGCTAATTCTTGATCAGAATTTTTTTTATTATTGATTAGAAGGTGCTCCTAAATTTTTTTAATCAGGAGGACAAGCGCTTCTAATTACAAGAAGAAAAACACTGCTCTTAAACTGAGTGTGTGACGGGTATGGCTGTGGAATGGGGTTTGGCCGAGGAAACATTTTCAATCAAAAGATTTTTTTTTGCTTTAACCCCTGCAATCAACAAAGGATGGACAGAACTAAGTCCCAGCCCTACATTTTTGATAATCTTTTACACGCGTAATGTATGTCACAAAAGATCTGTCACTACTTGTTTCAGCATGAAATTGTGTCTCTTTTGTTCTCAAGGTTGCACTAGCAGGTGGAGGAATGCGTCTGTCTGACATCATCTGTAATGCTTCTCTCTTGGGTCGATACCTCACTGTTGAGCATAGAGATTATTTCCCTGAACTGCAGAGGGTGCTGTGTGCTGTGCCTTCAAATATTATGCAGAAGGCAGAGCAGATCTTCCTCTCACAGCTGGACTTCAGCAAGATCCTCACGGTTAGTGAATTAACCCCACAGCAGATCTAGACAGGTTGGTGCTGGAGGAGCTAGGGGGTTTGTTGCACGCTGTAGGACACGCTTACAGCAAACACTGAACCAGACTATTTAAATGTTGAGCAAACAATCTCATGGGCTACAGAATCAGCAAAGACCAATCAGGCTGTGGCGTGTAGTAAATTATGTGATTGCTAACAGACTGAATGTAAAGAACCTTTCAGTCTGCGGCATCTAAAGTTCATTACTGAACTAGATATGTTCGAAACTGTATTATGTAACAAGGCCTTATTTGCTGAAATCACATGACTTGTTGAGTTTTCTAGACATTACGAACCAATTATTTAAAGGTTTTGAAGTTTCATGAGTAATGCTAGTCAGAAGTAGATGGTATTTAGGAGAAGGGACATTCTCATTTTAGAGAGAATTTGATTGGACAAAATCTGGCAGTATGAATCATCAGTATTTTTGGGCCATTTTCCTGGAAGAGAAAAATTGAAATTGTATATATGTTAAAAGTTAATCTCAAATTTCATACTTGAATTGTGTTATCCATGTTAATTTCTTTTAGAGAGACAGACTGCAGGCAAATGCGGCTGATCTCCGGCTCATCAGTCAGGCTGTTTCCTCTGTATCTCAGGAACTAGCATCAGTTATGGATGATGTAAGTAGTTTTGAGATCTATTAATGCCAGGTTTCACAATTACTGTACTGTAGTTGTACAATTACTGTATAATTACTTGCTTGTTCCGTTTTCTATGACACTGCATAGTGTACATGATACATAAATAATACATTTTAATACACTTGATGCAAATATGTTAGAGGTCCATTTTCACATCACAGCAGTGAATATGTTTCTTTCTTCTCCTTCAGATCTCTTCTCTGTCCAGTTTCTCAGAGCTGAACTCAGAGATGAGGCTACTGACACCTGAAAACCGCTCAGCACTGCCACGCGAGAGCTTTCGTGCCTTCTCCAGAATCATGTGTGGCCATCCAGAGGCAGGGGGAGAGAGAATCCCTTCATTCAACTGGTATGAAGATCAAGACATCAAATCTTTCCTTGGCAGAAATGCATCAGAGGAGACAGACCTTGAAAAGGACAACAGCACCAGTAAGATGTGTTTGACTCATTTATAGGGGTATAATGACCCCTGTGCAATAATCATGCTGTCTAATCAGCATCTTGATATGCCACACCTGTGAGGTGGATGGATTATCTCGGCAAATGAGAAGTGCTCACCAACACAGATTTAGACAGCTTTGTGAACAATATTTGAGAGAAATAGGCCTTTTGTGTACATAGAAAAAGTCTTATATCTTTGAGTTCAGCTCATGAAAAATGGGGGCAAAAACAAAAGTGTTGCGTTTATAATTTTGTTCAGTGTAATTATAATTTCAAGAGGTCTTAAATTTGGGGACGGAAAGACCAGAATTGTGATATGGCTGAATGTGACAATTAATCTTCAAAAGGCTAACGTTATGATTTAATTGAATAAACACGAGCGCTGCACGTTCAAAGTCCGTTGCTGCGCTGCTTTGTGTTCTGCCATTATCGGGGAAACGGTTATATTTCTACCAAATGCTCCACCTGCAGAGAATGAATGAGTATTTTCAATAAAACTGTTGTTTTGTTTGTTTTGAGTTTAGACCAATGCGAAAATCAACCCATGTTTTTACCCTGCAAACACGAGCTTTAAATGTGAACTGGTGGATCGATAAGAAGACAATGCATTATAAAAATCTAAACATAGGGGTGTGCGATATGTATGGTCTGCGATAATATCGTAATTGTTGTTTTAACGATGTGCGATTTGATATTATGAGTATATCCGAAAAGCAAACACAAAACACCTACAGAGTGCACGCATACATTAGGTGATGAAGTCTAGTAGGTTAGACTAGTGCGCGTGTGCATTTAGAGTGCGTTCTTTCACTGCATGAATCAGTCTATTAAAATGCATTAAGAATTGTCACATAATTTAAGATATGGGGCAGAAAATTTATATCTTTATATCAGTTCATATAGTTAATATCACACGAAGAGTGCCGTTTTTTTTCCCTCCAAAAGTAAGCATGATTACAAATGTGATAATGATTTTATACAACAGTTCAATAAACAAGTAGTTAATATTAAGAGACTTATGTTTTAGACACCATATTTCCTGTTTTTGCTCTATTTCTCCAACAAAAATAATTTCAAACACAGCCACAGCGCTGTTTTGCGTCTCTGAGCAACAGGACGCTGTTTTGTTCCTGAATGAATCAACTGTTTAAAAGATTCGGTAGCAATGACTCGCTTATTAACAGTGACTTGCTGCCACCTACTGGCGGTTTAAATTTCACATTTAAGGTACACATTCACATTTTTTAAATAATCTCAAACATCAGTTTTCAATGTTTTATGTTTAAAATATCAAAACATTACTTATGCATTTGTAACTGCAGGTTAAAGTATTTAATGTCCCTCAGAGCTACACATTGCAAAGATACATTTTGTTGATACTGATTTAATTTGCTTGGTAACAACCCAAATGCAAGAATTTTACTCAAAAGATGGTGCACATTTTTAGAAAAAATGGCTTAAAAGTAAAAATGCCCATAAAACTTGTTGGAAATTATTAATTTCTATTACTGCTGTGAACTGACCACACAGAATATGAAGAATATAAAAAAATCAGGAGTCAGCTGTCCACGGTAGTCCTTAAGATATCAGCACAATAACACACTCAGCAAAATATTGTTTAATCGTTATCGATAAAATCCCAGAATATTATCGAGATATCATTTTTTTGTCAATATCGCACACCCTAATTTATGTTATTTAATTGATATAA